CGCCTTGAAAGACGTTTGCGAGAGTGAGAGGGAACTGGAAGAAGGAAAAAAAAGAGAAAAAAACGAAAAAAGAAAGAAAAGAAAGAAAGTAAAAAACAGGAAGAACCACTGTCAACACTGGGAAGGAAGCCAACTGTCCGTCTACATCCACCTACGGTTCATATCACGTGCTGTTCACGTATCACGTGCTGAACAGCACGTGATATGAACCGTAGGTGGATGTAGACGGACAGTTGGCTTCCTTCCCAGTGTTGACAGTGGTTCTTCCTGTTTTTTTACTTTCTTTCTTTTCTTTCTTTTTTCGTTTTTTTCTCTTTTTTTTCCTTCTTCCAGTTCCCTCTCACTCTCGCAAACGTCTTTCAAGGCGAGAGGGACGCGGCAGCAAGGAAGTTCATGTCAGTATAACTCATCCCCTGATGAAGGGAGGTCCCCTCCCGAAACTGTTGGGAAATAAATATATTTATCCTTGTTGACAACGCTCCCGTTGTGCCATATCCCATATATATATATATATATATATACGAACATGTGTTATTAGAGGAACACCACCTGTATGGAGTGAGCGAAGTCCTTGACGTCACAGAAATGAGCGAATATTATTGGATGGGACACCTATGCGTTTATTACGTGTGGGATACAATTATGGCTGAGGACGTATCGTGTCTTCCTTCTTAGGTTGTCACCACATATAGTATTCCTTTTCTCGGAATCGCGAAATGGCGACAGGGCAGAATGTAGCGACCAAATGTTTCGTCCGTGCTTACAGAGATATTACAGAGTGGGTACCCACTAAACTTGACCCATGCAAGTACGACCTTGAAGGGGCCCTGCAACACTTTTTCAGCATGGTCAGAAAACGCTGCCGATCGGTAGCAGAGGCTCCCACAACACGGGAGCCAAATATTGTAGAGAAGCACGTGGCCTGGAATTCACAATAAATTATCAAGGTCAGCTAAGAATTGCTTTCTCTTCTCTCGACTAATTACGGAATATGGCCAAAAATCAAACGTAGCTAGCCCATCTATCAGCGATTGGCTGATTTGAACGCGGCGCGCTTGCTCGTTACCATGATCGCCGTGGGAGGCCACTACTTGTCTACGCATGTACACGTGATCACACCGACAAAGCCGCGCATTCGAAAAAAAATAAAAAAAGTGCTCAAGGTCATGAGGCACGGGTGACGTGTTTTGTTTGCCCCTCCCATTCGACCCTGCTTAGCTTCTAGTGCTTTCGTCGGGACGAGAGCAGAGAGAATGTGATTGCAGCGTGTGACAACTCTTTGTAACTCCGCTCGTACTGGACGGATTCTTAAAATTTTTGCGGCATCGGATTCACGAGGCAATAAGCTCTTCCAGTGCATTCATTTCATGGTTACTTGGAAAAGTGCTTCGGGGCCCTTTTAAGGGAAGATCTAATACAAGACCCTCAACTAGTGGCCCCTTTTCACCACCACCCCTCAGTGGGGGCGAATCAATCACAGTTAATAGGGGAACTAGAACAAGCAACCCTGCTCGAGCTTGGTCTGCCTCACGTGAAACGAAGAAGAAACGGAAAATTCTCGTGACGCCACGTAATCCTCGTGAAGGCGCGTGACACGTTCACGAAAGGCGCAAGTAGAAGACAGACCGCCTTGCATTTTGGTCTTCAACTCGTGGCGTTCCTGGACAGTGCAGTATAGCAGGCAACGTCCTTACCCGTTGGTCAAGTTTTGTGAGGTCGCTGCTCGCCTGCACACGGTGGTCCGAAAGGCTTGCCCACTCGTACCCCTGGTCAGCTGTCCGTTCGTGTTCGCCACCATCCTCTTCGTACTACGACCTAAGACACGGTAAGCCTTACGTATTGGTGAGGAACTCTAGCGTGTTCTTCGATTCACTGAGTTAAGTTCGCCAACCGGTTGCGAAGATAAACCTTTAAAGAGAGGAGGAGGGGGATGCCGGGCCAACGTTTCGACAAACGCGCTCGTTTTTCTCAAATCAGTGATACACCTTTTATCGCGATGGCACAGCGCATGCGCCGTTCCCCTAGCAAAGAAGTCGCGAAACGCCTCTTAACCTAGGAGTGCTTTGTTTAGCAGGTACCATTTGTCCCGGACCTTACCAAAACGCTACCATATAAAACCAGAGCGCAGTGCAGAAAAAATGGAATAGGTGGACTACTCACCGTAGCGCTTGCAAGAGTGCACTTCGTATGCCCTTGGCTGTGTGGTGCATAAGATACGACGCGTGCACATAGACACGGTGAGCTAGGACTCACTCGCTGGATTTCGCGCCGACCGGTTGTGCCCCCCGATCCCCGATGACAGCGCAGCTCTGGCCGACTGGCTCGCCCTACGCCATCTCCTGACGCCGACAAGAGCTCTCGCAGAGTGGTGTCCCGTCCTCGGACTTCTGCGACCGTGTCCATCTTTCCTATCTTCTCCTTACTTCCGTATGTGGCGGTCCCTGCGCCTTTCTCTCTCCCTCTTCCTACTTCTCTCTTTATCTCCATAACTTAAATTCCTCCATATCCTTTTTTATTTCCTCCTTACTCCCACTCCGTGCGCAGAATTGTGGTGGTGCCCTCCACGGAGAAGGAGGCAGTAACGGAACTGCGCTTATTTCTTCCTTTTACTTTTTCAAAAGTCGCCTATATCGACAACTTTTTCCTTGAAAAAAAAAACAAAAAAAACATTCGTCTAAACGTGCGCTCTAGCGGCACCCCATGTGCAAGGATTTTTGATGTCAAGCTTCCATCTTTTTCTGAACCTCTGCTTACCACTATGTGCAAAAGGGAGTAACAAGTGGGTTCAGATTTGTGGAACAGAATAGATGGAGTCGTTGCGCTGCAACGCCAGAGGATATTAAAAGAACAATAAGACTAAGAATGCTCAGGTAACCTCGGAAGACGTGCTTATGGACATATCGTCATTCTTTTTCCATGTAAACATCTCCAGTTTTGTTCATTTCAATACTTTTTGTGAGACCGATAACTAAATATGGTAACTACAGAATTTTCCAAAGCTGTAGTTGCCATTAAATGGTGCTAAAAAATGCGATAGTTTCTTGTCTAACTCGATTTAGTAATCTTCACGAATTTGTGTTCCTAGTAGTGCACGAAGGCAACGTTTTAATGCAGCTCTTTTACAGCAAGGAGTATTCGCAAATTCCGTAGAGTGTCACGCCGCTCCGCGGCCGCTAGCGTAATTTTTTCAAAGAGTATTGGAGTAGGGGTGGGGCAGCGGCGTTCATAGCATGTGCAGGTACGTCTTGGTTGGCGTTGGGCTTTCACTAGAACGTTTCTGTTGTAGTTACTGGGTGCACATAGGTGACTGCAGTCGTTGCATAGTCATCGTTTACGAAAAGGGAGCGTTTTTTAGACACAGCGAAATAACAACTGAGACGCTTATTCGTGTTTTTCTGTACCTGTGAGTACGTTTCGTGCCTCATTTTGCGTAAGAAACGCGGGGCACGTTTTGATCTGCTTGCCATTCGGCACTGACCTTTCGATTTGTTGCTATTCGCGTTCATTGCTTCGTCTTTGCAGCAAAGCTGTGACGTTTTTCGAAAATGCGTCAAATATATAAGCTACATACCTTCACGCCACAACAAGTGATGTGTTTGGAATTCGGGACATCGTATCCGAGTTTCTGAAGCGTCTAAGCCGCGCATAATATGCAACAGCAAAAAGGGTGAAGCCATCGCAAAGCAAAAAAAAAAAAACACAGTGCAGGCCGCATATGTGCTCAGAGATTCCGACCTTAACCGATACTCTCTCTGGGCGCCATATTGAACCACCCTGTGCGCCCCCTATAGGCTATGAAACTTGCGAATACCATTTCGCCTCCTCAACGATACTGTCTACAAATGCTACACTTGGTCTCCTACTACTCCTTTTAATTGTTCTTTTCAATGTCTGGGTATCAGCATGGGCATCGATAGTTGAGGGGGGGGGGGTTGCAGACCCGTGTGGCATCACTGCTGGGGGAGAGGGGAGCATTGGGGTAGCTTGGGGGAGGGGGAAGTGCTTGTGTGACTTGAGGCGCGAGCTGACCATTTTGGACCTTCCTGCCATGCCCAGAGGTACAGCTTTTTCATTCTAGAAGGCTTAGGCAGTTGCGACAGGCTCCGTACGCTTACCGCGGGTTTAATACTGTTCTTATATGAAAGGGAAGAGGGAAAGCATGAAAACAAGTTGAAAAGCAAATACAAAGATGTATGAATGGGGTATGGTATATGACCAGTTAGAAACCTTGTCACGTTATGCCAGAGAGGGTTTAAAACGAGTAACATTTGTAGTTTTCCCGCACAATAGTTTGCGTTCAATGCTTTGGGGCCGCCATCTTGGGCTAAAATCACGTCGAAAGAGAGAGAGAAAGATAAAAATAAATACAGGGAGGTTAGCCAGAGGAACACTCCGTTTGCTACTTTGTATTCGGAAGCTGCGTATAAACAAGCATCATGACAAAACATATTGACTACACGTCTAGAGCTGTGCTACAATCTCACTGTTAGTCACGAAGCGATGAAACCTTTTTACTGACGTCGTCGTGCCAGTGATGTTTGCGTACCAGCCTGACAGGACTGTTTAGTTATGTTTTTCAAACGATATTTCATTTGTTAGTCACATGAAGAACTTATTCATGTCAGTACTTGAATGCAATACGGTTACCCCTTTGTTTTGTTTATTTGCACACGTGTGGTTTGCATGTAGTAATTCTCTGTCATGCGTATTTATTTGTTCATTGTTGATTTTACACTGAGCATTGTTTCATTTTTGAAGGGATTTTGCGTTTACAGGGGATAGACGCCTTGTCGTCAGGCTTCGATGCTTTTTTCATGGTCCCCTTAACAAATTGTACTGCCTTGGTTTTGCTGAAATAATATTCAAAAATTTTCAAAATTTCTAATTTCTGTTATATGCGTAGTTAACCTTTAGAAGTTGTCGAATTAACCGACCTTGGAGTTTGGATCGCCCACTCAGTTGCCCCGTTTGTGCGCATGAATTGCAGACCACCGGTCGCATCGCCGACTGCTTCAAAACCTGACCCAAGGAGCAGGTTGCCATGGAGACCACGGGATGCTGGAGCCAGTTGGGCCTGGTGATGTGGCGCCAGGTGTGGCTGACGCGCGTGCGACGCCACTACCTGGTCACGCTGCTCGAGCTGACGTGCATGGTCTTCATGCTGAGCTCGGTGTGGGAGGAGTCGGTGGCGCCGTACCGGGCACGGCCCAACAAGGACCAGTTCTTCGACAGCGCAGACGCGATCGAGTTCTGGGGTCGTCCCAACGAGTCCTGGAACGAAGGAACGCTAGCATTCGCGCCCGACCAAGCTTTCTTCGCGGACCTGACCGCCAGGGTCTGCAAAGAGCTCGGTTCCAAGTGGAGTGAGTTGATGTGGCATTAGAAATTGACTGTTGAAGGCGTTTTGCAACACTTTTCTTAGTAATCATCAAATGTTTCGATAAAATAGTTGACTGCCTCACGAATCGGCTGCCGCAGATTTTGTGAAATACATGAAGTACGAGCGGAGTTAAAGGTTTGTCGCATGCTGTAATTGCATTCTGTCTTCTCTCGTCCCGATGAGCATGCCGGAAACTAAGCAGAGAGAGATGGCACAGGAGAAAGAAGTTACGTCACGTGTGCGTCATGGCCTTTAGCATCATCTTTTCTTTTGCTCTTAAAACACGCGACTTGCTCTCAGTGTGATCTTTAGTCCGGCCGTGCTCATGGTGGTCAAAACAGCCAATGGACGCGGGCTTTGGGTATATGGCGCAATCATTCGGATTTGCCGCATCATTTCACGAGAGGAGGGAGTGATTTCTACGTGACTTTGAGAATTCTTCGCAAATTCGAAGCCGCGTGCTGCATTGACATGTTTGGCTCAGGTTATCTGAATCCTCGGCAAGCATTCGGCAGCATTTTCAGCCTTGTGTACGAGAAAAAAAAATAGGTAAGGATAATTCAGTGATAGAAAACAGAATAAGAAAAAGAAAACGTAGCCGGGCATTGAACAGTTTCTCTGAAACGTGTCAAGAATTACGTATGCAGCATTGCTGTTTACCTGGAAAAATTTTTTTTTCTGAGATACAGCAGTCGAGTAAACGCTAACGCACCCTTCACTGATATGCACGTAGAAAGCTTCCGTAATATCCCTCTCTGTTTGATCAAAAGATCTGGGCCAAAACTTTTGTGTCGGGACCAGATTAGCTGGAACTTGGCGAGCAGTGCACTGCCCGTTTCTGGTCTTTCTTCCGTAACGTCATTATGACGCCACGAAGCTTCCACAACTCTCCACATAAATGAGAAAGTCGGAATGTGTTTTGCCGCAATGAATCCTGCCTCCAGAGATCCGCTTCTGGACGCACATCTCGGAGGCCTTGCATGAACTGCGATCACGTTAGCACTTGAATTGGGTTTAACGCGGCAGCACACCAGACGCAACTCGAAGGTGGGTATGCATTCCCTGCATTGTATTTCAGACATGTCAACCCGTTCATATGCAAGTGCAGCCTTGTCAAGGTCTTTTAAGAGCGAGTCCTGCTGATCTACATTTCATCGACTTTCGTTCTCTTCACGCTGAACTGGGAATGTGTGTTAGTTGCGTCGACGTGGCCAAAAGTGCAGTGACACCACGGCTTGCCGCATGTGTGGAGTGGACATGTCCACTAGATGGACACCGCAAGAATAGCTTCTTTGGGTAGCTTCGCGAGCATTGACTGACAGTCGGTGTGTAAGTGAAGAGGAGAACGGTGACGAGATCTGGTGAGACAGAGCATTGACTAGAGAAAAACTATTGATTCGGTAGTGTGGCGCTGGTATAGCGTTGATAACAAAAAAAATGGATACCTTTACAATCTGGTGAGCCTGGTCGATAAGGTATAGGAGTCGTCTGTGTAGACGTGGCGGGGAGGGTGTGTGTGCAAGGGACATGACATAAGTTGTGGTTGGAGAGAGTTTAGTGAAAGGGAAGCAGTAGCAGATAGAAGGACGATAAAACTTCGGGTACTTCGCGCAGCCGCTATAACCTTTCCCTTTCCCTATAGAATTCTCTTGTGGCGTGTACCGGCCCATGGGTCCCCGGCTCCGCGCCGTCGCTCGCTACCATCTGTTGGGTTAACTGTTGCCTTTTTTATTTTTAGTGAACTAGTGGTGAGTAGAAAATCGACCCATTTCCGTGTCACATGCTGGTTTATCATGATGATAAATTTTCGATAGGCCACACAGGCAGATATTCTCTAGTCTTAGGCAGCTTCCCTGTCAAACGTTCTCCTACCATTCGCGCGAAAACCAGCTGCCGCGACCACCTTACGCAGGTAACTGAGGGCAGGCGCTTGTTTCTGCGAGCGGAGCGGGCAGTTTTAAAGACTACAGTCTTTCTTGGAGACCTTTGACGCAAAAATTTTGGTCTGTCTGTCTGTCTACCTTTGTCTGTTTGTCCACTCTTACCAGCATCGGGTACTTTAAACGGCTGACCCCATTCGCAGCGACCACCAATGTTGCTCAAGGTTGAGCGTTCATGCTTGTGCAATTGTCAATTAAAAAACAATTATTGCGCATGTTTGGGGCACCATAACAACACGCATATATTCTGCGTATGCATCTCTTACTAGAAAACGCATGCATAAGTAATTTTAAGGACCGTAGCGCTTATCACGCTGTGCTTACCATGCAACGCTTGCACGGAACGGGAAGTGTTTCCAACGCTTTGCTAAGACGAGATGGTGGTGGCACCTACCCGTCGCCTCGCGTTCTACACCTTATCACCTCTGAGACGGGCGCGCACGACCACGTGCTTTGTTTTCCAAAAGAAACTGCCAGATGGCGCTCATGGCTCACGTGCGACATGACTTCATGCACTCGTCAGCCTCCGCGGCCCTCTTGAGGCACTATAACGCAGTGCCTCCAGAATACCATTCACCGATTTTCTTGCGCAGAACATCAAATAAATGTTTTGTTCACTCTCTCCACACGCAAGACTATCGTCTTTCGACGACATTTGCAGATACTAAGTAGATACGGGGCCAATTTTTCCTTTTTTTTCCTGGGCTAACCGAGAGCATCCATGCGCAGCGCCGATGCCCTTCAAGGACGCGCACGAGGCGGCGCAGTACGTCGAGGACGGTGCGTCATCGGAGACCGCCGGCCAAGAGCAACTGCGTCGCGTGGCCGTGTGGTTCGAGCGCCCGGAGACCGACCGGCTGACGTACCACGTGCGCATTAGGAACGCCGTGTTCGACCTGCGCGACGACTACAAGCGCAGCCTGCTCGTGCCAGGAGCGGCCGACATCGACCTCCAGGACGAGATCAGTTGAGACACTCATTGTCGGCCTTGCGCCAACATTTTTGACACACAACCGAGTCTCTGAAACGGAACAAAGGGCAATGTTGAATTTTCGTACAGCCTTTCTTGCGTATTATCTCGGACCAAGAGGGAGGAAGTGAAAGTATGTCCGCCATGGTGGGTCAGTGGCTAAGGTGCTCGGCTGCTGGCCCGAAGGTGGTGGGTTCGAACCCGGTGGTCGCATTTCAGTGGAGGCGAAATGACGAGGTACTGTGTGACGTCAGTGCACATTAGACAACACCAGCACGTCGAAATTTCCGGGGCACTCCATCACGAAATTCCATATAATCACGTCGTGGTTTTGGGACGTAAAAGTACAGATAATATCGTAATTAAAATGGGAAAGCTTGCACGTGATTTCACGAACGCACATGTCTTCAACTTAGCGCTCGAGAAAGTACTTAGGGGCCCGGAAAGAAATCTGCTAGCGCGGCTGGTATTCTTCGCCAGTTTACAAGCTTGTATTTATTCCCATATGGGTTGTCACTGACCATATAGTTCCGTAAAGTGCAGCTAACACGGAGACTAGAGAAGACACGAGGCTATAAACGAGCGCTTACTGCAGCAAAGATTTCCATTACACCGCACGCGGTCCCACTTCTGTCGATTCCCGTCACACACGCGCACACCGCTTGATTGATACTTTTTTTCGCGGGTAAGCTTGTCGCCAACTGCAACTCTCGCTAGGTATTTGATAGTTATTTTTTTCCGTGTTTACAAGTCTCCCTCTTGACGACCGAACCTGTGCGACCCATGGCACGCCCATGAGCCGGCGTCGAGGCAAGCCGTTGACGTCCCCTCATGGGAGGCCTAGGCCTGGCTACCTAAACCTGCTGGTTTCTTATAATAAAGTTTATTCTTCCTCCTTTACAAGTTCTTGTGAAAGATGCCAACAGAGACGAATGCCCTCATAATAATAATTATTAGGGTTTTACGTTCGAAAACCACCTTGTGGTTGTGAGAGATGCCGTAGTGGAGAGCTCTTGAAATTTCGACCACTTGGGGTTCTTTAGCGTACGCGGGCCTCCACCATTATCGCCTCCGTCGAAAATGCGGGCGCTACGGCCGGAATTCGACACCTTGATCGGCGTGCCAGCCGTCGATCCTTATAACCGCTGGTCCACTGTCACGGGCAGAGGCTCTCAGAAAGGAAAAACGTTGTGGTTCGTTGGTAGTTTATAGTACTTCAGAACCCATGGTGGACTTAATGAGCGCGTGAGACCAGATGAACGGAGGATAAGCGCGTGTCTTCGGGGTGGGGGTGGGGGGGGCAGCAGAGCACACTTTTCCCGTCCCCCAATTTTGACCTCGTAGAGGTGGGGCGAAGAGCGCATACGTTAGCAGCCCTAAGAGGGAGTGCATTTCGTTGTAGACACGTAGCGTAATGCTTGAATTGACTATGAGAAATTCGTTTTATTTCATGCAATTCGCTCGCACTGTTGCGCATATAATTGATTCCGCAGCCTCCCCTTCTCTCTCACCGAGGGCAGATGGGGAGGCTTCGCCACTGAACATTGGCGGAATGCTCACGTTTCTTGAGTGCGCGGCAGTCGAGCAGCACCGTCATCAATGGGGATAGTTAATTGTTATCTGAGCCTTTGCCACAGGGTGGGGAGGGGATCTTCAAGAGTTTCAGCACCTTTTGCCACCACAATTCTAGTTCTTGCATCTGTATATATGTACGCGCACGCATGCGAACGCTAGCATCAACTGGGACAACGTATATGTTGAGTCCCCCACCCCTAACGACTTCGCTACCGTCCTCTGGTTCAGAGATACGTGTATTTAACAGTTCATTATGCTCCCTTACCTTGCGATATACAGAATACTCGGAAACATCCCAGTATCGATCTCTTTCGCAAATTATATAAGTGTTCGCATGAAAGTCCGCTGTTCACACGAAACTAATAGCCAGCAATATTACTCAAACGAATCTAAATTAGCCAGCAACATTGCTCAAACGAATCTAACCCTCTTTCGTTTCACGTTTCAGCATGCATGCATGATAGGTTATTCGCAGCTTTAGCATACCTCGAGAAATGTAGACCTGAAAGTCCTAGTTTAGAGGCTGATACTTGTGTCTATGTTAACATTTTGCGGACCTCCTATTTACCGCGATTTTTATCGACGGAATTTCTCATGTCTGAGCCAACGTCCACGACATGCATGCGGGGTCGTCATATTCCTTTTCAAGAAGCAAAACGAACTTCGATTTTCAAAACGCCAATTGCACTTTGACTGAAACTGAGTGAAACGCAATTTTTCGTTACTGACAATATGGCCGGGCCTGCTCTAATGATTTTTTTTATTTACCTGTTTGTTCCTGGCCCTTTGAATACCTTAAATCTGCATTGCCGTTAAAATCTATATAGCACACTATCGCGATATTCAGAGGTAAAATTTGTATTTGGCTCTTATGCATCGATATATTTCGTGTGGGCTAGAATCAGAGTGTAAAACATGTCTTGAACGATTCGAGTGCACGGCATAGCAATATTTTGAGATAATATAACGTCTTCCTTGTGCGTCCGTCGCGGCTAACCTTCTTCACACGGGCATATGTGATGAATAGACTTGCTTAGAAAAAAAAAACGTTGATGATTTATAGCCCTATGCACGCTACAATGGGAGAACGCTTAGCTCTCCCAATTACGACGTCCACCCTGTAGAGGCGCGTTTAGACAAAAAAGTGGGTAACTACTGTGAGTATTAGGTACTCTACTATGGAAGAGCATAAAGCCGTCCCGTGAACTTCTCAGTTATCTGTCATTCTTGGTGAGAGGTGCACTATTCTGCACTGTCGACCCCGTTTTAATATTCTTAGCATCTGTGAACGCCTTGAAAAAGGCTCCAGTTGCTTGGCATTGAGTGGTGCTTCAATCTTTATTTCATGTTTTCTTTATTTGAAGTATGCCGTCCTGGAGTGAAACAAGGACATGGTACAGTAGCGCTAAGCTCGAAAATGAACGTCAAGAGGCGAAAAGAAGTAGGAAGGCTCGTCTCCGACTTTTTATTGTCCAACATCATGTCCTTATGTATATGTCGACTCTCCCTGTGTTTTGGAGGACCAAATAAAAGTTTATCTAATCCCAAGAGAAAGTAATTATGGAACGTGAACACGACAGCAAAGCAACTATAGTCGGTTACAGCCCAAGAATACATTTAAGCACCCAGCCACCGACACACCCAGGCAGAATTTGTGTGTTTCGATAAAATGGTTGATGATTTTAGGCACAATGTACTCTATACTTTTTGTGTTTAGAAAAAGTGTTTAACGATTTAGAGTACACAGTATTCTACTTTGTGGTTAGAAAAAGTAGTTAACGATGTAGGTTACTGAGTACTCTACTTTTTATACAGCTACGGAGCTACGGGTGGTTATTTACGTGACGTAAGGCAATTGTAGCGAATTCATTCATATTACTTGGCCGCACAGGCTCATGTTCAATTTGCTAGTTTTCGGTAAAAATCTTTCACTTCTTGGCAATTTTAATCAAGCATTTCGACTTCACTGCTCTGCAAAACGGAATGTTTTAAGCGGGAACGACTAAATTTTAATGTACATTTTGCGTAGTATTTACATTACCAGAAAAAATGCGTCTATGGTTAGAACAGAAATCACCGATCGTGGCTCTGTTTCGCAGCTGAGCGACTGGCGTGTTGCCTTGGTGTCGCAGTACCGGGGGCGGTGCGTGTATTTGTTCTTAGGGTGTAATCAACTGCAACGAAAACGGATTTAACGAGTCATTGTTCGTTGTTTCGGTCACGGTTGTGGACGCAGCGCTTTTAGGGGCGAAACAGGGAAGTTTATCGCAAACTGGTAACAACGTTTCAGGTGAGTACAACTGTCTGGTGTAACAAAATTACTTCAGTGGCGTGTACAAACAATAGAACATAGACAGGATGTAACACACAGCACTTTCAATATTCTCACAGATCACGAATCACTCAGAAAAGAAAAAGAAAAGAAACGCAAAAAAGACAGTGAATTGGAACAGATTCACATATTACGTGCGACAAGAAGCAATTTTACCCCGACTTAAAACGGCAGTAAAGGAAGTACAATATTCCCGTTCCGAACTCCAAGAAAACGTGTATGCCACCTTCTGATAAATGCTTCTTTTACCCCGAGTTTCCATCTGTTCGGTAAGGTACCGAACCATGATCATTCTAATCTTCTATAACGCTGGGTATGCAGCTTGTACAATAAAAAATTCGCAGCGTTCGCGTTAACTAAAGCCGAAGTCTCCTGTCTCTCATTTCCCATTAGCAGCCATTGGCATGTACGTTGAGCACAACGGACAAGAAAGGGTTGCTACATTATACTCGCTGGGTGTAACCTCCTTAGTTTTAGAAAGGTTTAGCGAGCGTTGAGCCGCAGGGCCATGAATACAGTGAACTAGTATATACCATGAACTCAAGGTGGTTGAAGGTGGGAAGTAGACCCGAAGCGGAAGCCGTAAGAAAGTGTGCGTGTGCCACCTCTCTTTTGGTTGGTCCTTGGAATGTCCGCTGGATGGCGGTGCTTTTATATGGGGAATATATGATGAAAAGATGCGAGATAGCGGTACTTAGAGTGTTGAATAGGTGGACGAACGGACACACAGACAGATGCATGTACGGACGCACAGATGGCTGCACAGACGGATGGACGCATGGGCGGACGCAGGGGTGGATGCATGGACGAACGCAGGGACGGACGCACAGATGGACGTGCGGACGCATGAACAGACACACGCATGGACGGGCGGACGGACGCATGGACAGGCACACAGACGGATGCATGGACGGACGGAAGCAAGAACGAATGGACGGACGGATGCTTCGCTCCACTATCCATCATTCACTCCGTGGATATGCTGCCATTTTTTAAAGGACTCAGTGTGATTGGAACAGATGCAGGATTTTGCTAATTTTTTCGTGACAATCTGCCTGATTGAGTTCTCGTTACAAGAAATTGTCCCATTTTGATTTCAACTGTGCTAGAAGTTAGACACTTAGACATGCTTTACGCTCCCGTAAAGCTTAGTTCAGTTTCGGTTTCTGCATTGGCTCTTAAAAAAAAAAAAGAAACACCGCATGTATTAGGAGCATCTATTAACCGCAGCATTTTTTCTTTCTTTCTTCCCAGGGCTGCTGCTTCCGCTGCAGTATTTCGTCGAATCGGCGTACATACAAATGATAGCCGAATCCCTGCAGAAACCAATCAACGTAAAGGTTAGTGTCACGGCGAGAGAGACAGAAATTATATCCTATCTTATCGCCAGGCCCATTGAATGTATTTTATTTGTTTAAGTTATTATTTAAAAATTATTTTGCCCTCAGGGCCGATGGAAGAGGAAAGTTGTATATAAAAGGGAATCAAGTAAATAGAACAAAAGGTTGCTACGAATTCGAGTCCCTTGGGTAGTTGTTTAACAAAGTATCGCTTATCTTTTATTTTGAGCCACAATGACTACACTTTTTTTCTCAGTTCCACTAATTTAATAGGGCGGCTTCGCCGGCTGGTTGGTTCCAAACTACAGCGTCAGTGTGCGGCTTTGTGCGACAAATTGACGGTGAGAAACAACATGTGAAAATAGTCAAAAGAATATGGTCTTGTAGCGGGCGATGACGCCGGTGATTGCGATAATTTTATTTGTGTGCGCATACCAATTCGTATGCCGAGGCGCACGGCGCAGACCAACATGCCTCACGTTCTCTCCGGAGGGCCGCGGAAGATACGCAGCCACGCCCCTTTTGGTTGTCGCTTTCGAAGCCTGTTTTTCTTGGAAAATAAACTAGTCTTGTCCCAAACTTCAAGGAGTGTAGGTGGCAATTCGTATGCTTGGGGAACCGATATGATAGCTTAATGTTTCCGGCACACTGCATTCGTTTTGGCCAAGCCGTTATGTAGTTGTTGCTTTAGCGAAAGAGCTACAGCATTGAGCTGGCACGACCGCCCTCTACGTTGCGCGAAAAGCATCCCAATACTCAAATAAATTAGGCGGGCGTATCTATGGAATGAGCCTAGAAGCGTCATAAAGCGTGAGCAGATGTCGCCCTTTAGAACGAGCGCGAAACGGATATTAAACTTGGCAGACCCCGCCGGTAAACTGGTGCTGCTCCTCAGTCCACTTGGTTTTTTTTTCTTGCAGTTGTGAATTGTAAAAAAAAAAATAGCACTGGTGCCATTAACACAGTGGCAATCGTTGCAGGCAGCAATCGCTTGTGTTTAATAAATGTGCAATTTTTAGTAGCAGGTGCAGATCTGGTCTATGTCGTGTACACGACAAACAAAACTGAAGTTAAACCGTAAGTTTGTATGCCAACCAACTATTTACAACGCAACCAACATGGCGCAGTGGTTAGTGTCTCCGAATGGGGAGCTGCAGGTTGCACGTTTAATCCTCCGTGGCTGCATTTTTTTTCGGGATGGGTGTTTTTTATACCATTTTTTATAGAATTCTTTTTTATTTTTTGTGACAGCTCGTCACGGTGATTCTGACGCCATTTCGCACTCAAGCGTTGCCAGCACTGCAGAACCCACCATATCCCACCATGTGCCATGGTGGGCGTTTCCCACCATTCACCCACTGCATTAATCCACTATAACGGTGGCTGGTGGTTTACATCATGCCCACCATTAGTTTTTTTCCGATATGGTAGTGTTTCTTCTAGATGCGCGTCGGCACCCCGGGTTACCCATAGAATATTATCATCTGCATAAAATGTGTGTTGAGTCCCGGTATCTCCTCCAGCCTCGGCGGTATTTAATTAAGGCGAGGTTAAACAGGAACGGCGACAAAACTGAACCCTTAGGCGTCCCTTTGACTCCCAACGCGAATGAGTCCGATTTGATATCTCCCCAATGAAATTATCTGAGGTTCCGCCCTTCAAGAATGTTCTGATGTATTGGGATGTCCTGACCCCTGGGCCAATTTCCGATAGATTTATCAATATTGCCTTATGCGAAACATTGTCGAAAGCTTTATTCAGGTCAAGCACCAATACAGCGTTGGTGCCCGTGCTAGGATCGGGATCGACTACATCATGTTTTAACTGTATCATGAATCTGTGTGGACAAATTGTCCCTGAAACCTATCATAGTTGGGGGAAAGATGGCTTTGTCCTCTGCATAATTCTGAAGCCTGTTGAGCACCACGTGCTCCATCAATTGCCCACGCATGATGTCAGCAATATGGGGCGCTGGTTTTCCAAGCAGAGTTGTCTTGCCTGGCTTCGGAATAAATAAATCCTAGCATGCGACCATTGTGCTGGGATCTCCCCTGCCACCCAATACTCATTTATCAAGTCAGTGATCTCCCCGACCGATTTGAAATCTAGGTTTCTCAGCATTTTATTAGTAACCCATCCGGACCTGCGGCAGACGTAGTACGCTGCTGCCACATGGCAAACTCCACCTTCGCATTGTGAACTCTTCATCTAGTTCTGAGTTTTTCCACCCCCGAGTAGTGTGGTAAGCAACCGTCTACTCCATCAGTTATGTACCGATTCCGGAGTTCCTGTATAACTCTCCAATTAGTGCCTTCAGTATTGATGCATTACCCGAGTCATTTGTCCCCATTGCGCAAGTTTGTTGCTGCCGGATCCAAAAGATGCCTTAACAGCTGCAATGTCTTTTTGCATTCAACCTGTCCATTCATGCGATCACAAATCTGGCCACACTGATTGGCTTGCAACTCAATTGTACAATTTTCGATTTTACGATCTAACTTGGCAGTCCTGCGAAGGATGCCATTATGTTTTCGCTTCTTCCACCTTCTCAAAAGACTCGCGTGTGCTTCCCACATGTGTAATAGTCTCGAGTCAGCGGTAAACTCCTCCTGCTTCGACTGGCACTTCTACCGTGGTATTATTTACATCCTCCTTCAGTGCCTCTACCGATGCAACCAGGTCATTAATTTCCCGTTCACAGTGTCTGCTCTGTTTTTCCTAATCTGTCCCAATCTATAATTCTATGCTCCCTCACTTGTCCTTTATGCTTCGCAGCAGCTAAACGTCAGTGGAAAAGATATAGTGATCACTTCCTAGGCTTGTCCCGTGTTAATCCACATTGCATTACTGATGCCTCTAAAGAACGTAAGGTCTGGAGAGTATTCCATGCTTATGCTGTTGCCTATCCTCGTATGATCTTGTGGATTGTTTAACAGCGTCCATCGCAGATCCCGGGCAACTTGCCAAAGCCGATTGCCATTTGGGCTGGCTCGAATATAACCCACTCCGGGTGAGGCACATTGAAATCTCCTACCACTATAAGCGGAGCGCGAGCTGCTAACCGTTGAGTTTGAATCAGGAGTTGTGGCAAGCCCAATCCTTATCTTTTGGAGAACTATACACATTAGTAAAAACAGACTCTTGTCATACTTTCGCTTAGGCAAAATCTCTAGCAGGACTAGTCTTCCCTGCTGCTATCTACGGAATGCTGAATGGCAGTGATGTTGCGATGGACTAGCACGGCTGTGAAGACGCGTGATACGCCCCTTAAGTGAATTCCTGGCGCTGTAAATGCCTTAAATTCCAGGTAATTTACGGAACCACTAGGCTCCTGTAAGGCTATTATGACTGGTTTACTGTCCAGATTTGTACGTGCAACTGCAGGTTACCCCAGCTTTGACGAAAGCCCCTGCAGTTCCACTGCCAAACCTCAATTTGCTGGCGAGGCGCCATGATGAGGCACCAGGTTGACTAATGGCACTTGGCCATCCACGGGAGCAGTCTTGCCTCCAATAGAGTAGGAGGGCCAAAGCGCGAAAATGCACGCGACAAGCGACGAGCGATGGCGACGTAGATCGTTTTCGCGCGATCAGTCGCTAGCGCAGGCAACCTCATTCACGCGACGGCTTCGGCGAGCGAACTCCACTGTTGCTGGCAAGAGGCCGTCTACTCACACCAAAAGAAACCGCGTAGTGAGCGGTATGCAATTTAAAAATGAGATATATTGTTGTGTAATGAAACGAAAGTGTTTTATGAGTGCCTTGCAGCACTTTTTATATGCACATGCGTAAACATTGCGTTTTTTCTTATTGCGCATACGTGGACTCGGGCAGGGTCACGTGCACCAATATAGTCTTTGTCTTTTCCGGTTTTTCGCTATTGGCTGCTTGAGCCCAGCCCTTCCAGGCGATGAGCGACGGTTTCCAAATCTGGAGAACCGAGCAATCGCGCGAAAACGAGCACGCGACACGTCGCGCGAACGCCCTGTTTTGTCGCTCATAGCATCGCTCGTCGCTGTCGCGTGCATTTTCGCGCTTATGAGGTTTGCTCTTTAAGCTGCTGAAACATGCCCATGACCTGGGTTTGGCAATCCCTAAATTCAGTGGAGAGCATCCGAGACGCTCCTCTATGTTTCTAATCTGGCTTCGATCTTTTCGACTCGAGCCTCCAACCTATCCTGTCTTTTCTCTTGTTTGCCTACTTTATCCGCAAGTGTTGTACATCCGACTTAAGAGCTAATGACCTTAAAAACAGCTGTGGCATGTCTACTGGTGACGTTTCGGCTAATCGTTTTGCGTGAGCTACCTCATCCTCGCAGTGGTCTCTTCACTGTCCCCCGATTCTCCACTTCCATAGCTGCACTCTCCTGTACGCGAGCAGACGCCTCTTGCGTCGCTTTCTGTAGGCCTTGCACTGCTGGTGCCCGTGTCCCCTGCCGTTGATTGATGCCTTTGTAAGATAACAAATGTGATACCTTTCACTTTTTCGTGTGGCTGAAGAGCTGAAATAACTGCATCATCTGACACGTACGGCGGGAGGCAGAACACACTGACCAAAACGCTTGGCGCCCCGACTGCCTCAACTTGTACCTTTTGACCTTGTAACTTGAATCCTTGGTTTACCATCAACTTGCTTGCTTGTGCAGCCAACCGAGCCGCAACTAGGAACTTCGAAGCTCCGAGATGTTGCAGGAACAGCAACCCTTCACTCCACATGACGTCTTCGAGGCCATCGATGATCTCGTCGACGGACGCCGTCCCCTCCGAGACGGTGAAGTTGAAGCAGTGCTCCTTGAGCGGGAGCGCCACAGGCCTTGATACCATCCTTGCTGGTCCCGGCAGGGGCCGACGACGATGGAATCAGGCCTCAAAAAACTGGCTGGCGAAGTCGCGAGTGGACACCCGGCAGCAACGCCGCCGGAACGCTGACCGCGTTGAAGACTGGAACGCCGAAGCTCCTTATAGCGGCACCCGTTCGTCTGTCGTAGCCGTTGTAGTAGTGCGTAACAAGTATAACATTTTGACCTCCAAAGTGGTGCCGGTGAGAAAATTCTTCTGTGCGTTGTTGAACAATAAAACATAGTGCTCAATGTACATGCCACTGGCTGCTAAGGGGGAATGAGAGACAGAAGAATTCGGCTTTTAGTTAAAGCGCACGCTGTAAATTTTTTATTGTTCAACAACGCATACAAGACAGAAAGGGTTGCTACGTTATGCTCGCTGTGCGTAACCTCCTAGGTTTTAGAAAGGTTTAGCGAGCGTTGGGTCGCAGTGCCATGAATACAGTGAACTAGTATATACCATGAACTCGAGGTGGTTAAAGGTGGGAAGTAGACACAAAGCGCAAGCCGTAAGAAAGTGTGCGTGTGCCACCTCTCGTTCAGTACTTGGAATGTCCACTGGATGGCGGTGCTTCTATATGAGGAATATATCATGAAAAGATGCGAGATGGTGGTACTTGGAGTGTTGAATAGGTGGACGAACGGACACACAGATGCATGGATGGACGCACAGATGGCTGCACGGACGGGCGCAGGGGCAGATACATGGACGAACGCAGGGACGGACGCACAGATGGACGTGCGGACGCATGAACAGACGCACGCATGCACGGGCGGATGGAAGCATGGACGGTCACACAGACGGACGCATGGACGGACGTAAGCAAGAACGAATGGACGGACGGATGCTTTGCCCCACTATCCATCATTCACTCTGTGGATATGCTGCCATTTCAAAGGACTCAGTGTGATTGGAACAGATGCAGGATTTTGCAAATTTTTTGTGACAATCTGCCTGCTTGAGTTCTCTTTACAACAAGAAATTGTCCCATTTTGATTTCAACTGTGCTAGAAGTTAGACACTTAGACATGCTTTACGCTCCCGTAAAACTTAGTTCAGTTTCAATTTCTGCATTGGCTCTTGAAAAAAAACACCGCATGTATTAGGAGCATCTATTAACCGCAGTATTTTCTCTTTCTTTCTTCCCAGGGCTGCTGCTTCCTCTGCAGTATTTCGTCGAATCGGCTTACATACAAATGATAGCCGAGTCCCTGCAGAAACCGATCAACGTAAAGGTTAGTGTCACGGCGAGAGAGACAGAAATTATATCCTATCTTCCCGCCAGGCCCATTGAATGTATTTTATTTGTTTAAGTAATTATTTAAAAAAGTTATTTTGCCCTCAGGGCCGATGGAAGAGGGGAGTTGTATATAAAAGGGAATCAAGTAAATAGAACAAGAGGGTGCTACGAATTCAAGAGTCCCTTGGGTGGTTGTGTAACAAAGTATCGCTCATGTTTTATTTGGAGCCACAATGACTCCAATGTTTTTTTTCTCAGTTCCACTAATTTAATGGGGCGGCTTCGCCAGCTGGTTGGTTCCAAACAACAGCGTCAGTGCGCGGCTTTTTGGGACAAATTGGTGGTGAAGAACAACATGTGAAAATATTCAAAAGAATATGGTTTTGTAGCGGGCGACGACGCCGGTGATCGCGATAATTTTATTTGTGTGCGCATACCAATTCGTATGCCAAGGCGCCCGGCGCAGACGCGGCCAACATGCCTCACGTTATCTCCGGAGGGCCGCGGAAGATACGCAGCCACGTCCCTTTTGGTTGTCTCCTTCGAAGCCTGTTCTTCTTGGAAAATTAACTAGTCTTGTCCCAAACTTCAAGGAGTGTAGGTGCCTTCTTTTCGCGCCTCCGTGGGGCGAGTATGCCACAGTTTTATGGAGTGTGGTTGTATTGTAAACAACTTCTTATTAGCATGCAAACGCAATTATAGTAATTATATATACCTGGTTTGATACAGCAAACAGCGAAAGAGGGTTAACGACGAGTTCCGCACATGTATCATAAGCGAGCACTTGGGATGAATGTCATCCGAGTTTTACGTCAGCAATTATTGAGCTTATTCATCTACGCCTTCTTTGTGCAACCTCAAGGCGCGCGAAGATACAATAAGGAAGGGACGCTAAATGAACGTATTGAGGGTGAAGTTACTTATCGAATAATTCGGGAAATCGGTTGCCTCGTTTGGCCCGCAACCATCATCGCCTTGACGAGTACAAGTCCTCCTGTCGAAACATGCGCTTCAAGGACATTCGATACCCGTTAACAGCTGATCGGCTTAAAGGGGTATGGTAGGGCAAAGAGGTTATCCTAGTTTCAGCTTAATATATGCGGCACTGTTACATCCTATGACATATTTATAGGAGAGCTAGTGGCTTTCAGCGGACTAAATTTACCCTGCAGCTTTCTTTCTTATGTACAGCACCAGCCCCGTCGCGATGGTCTAGTGGCTAAGGTACACGGCTGCTGACCCGCAAGTGGCGGGATAGAATCCCGGATGCGGCGGCTACATTTCCGATATAGGCGGAAATGCTGTAGGCCCGTGTGCTGAAACTTGTGTGCACCTTAAAGAATCCCTGGTGGTCAAAATGGTGGTTTTGGGACGTTAAACCCCACATATCTCTATCAATCATGCAGAGCACCAATTTTCACATTAGGGCACCAAGTTCGATAAACTTTTCCTGAAGAATCAAACATAGTATGACCGTGATAATTGGCACGTTTATTCAACATAGTATCGGCATTGATTAAAACCTATAAAAACACTGTTCTATCTATCTCATAACAACAGAAATAATATTTTCACTTGTCACGTGGCACGAGGTATATTTTACAAGTAGTTTTTTTCTTAATTGTAAATTTAAGAGTTTCTAATACGTTGTGTTCAATATATTTGCAAGAAATTTAGGTCTAACCTGACAATCTGAGAGTGGTAAGTTGGATAGTTTTCCAGCAAAGGTATATCAA